AAGACCCACTGTGAAGAAGTGTGTGTGTGCGGAAGATACCTACCAAGCGAAGAGGATAAGTGATGCTGCGCGCAAAGAAACCGTTAGTCTGTAGAGAAGGATCTGCGTTGGGCAAGGTTCTCCCAGGATTGGTTGATGTGCTCATGAAGTGAGTGAGATGTCACTTTAAAACTGTTTTGGCTGGCGTAAGTGGTGTGAAATAAAGCATACCGAGCTGGGGAGCTGTTGTTGGTGATGGCAGCACTTGGTGGCTGGGCGCAGATCACGAGGTCAGGTGAGACTATCTTGGCGGTGTCGTGTGATGGAGTACAGTGCGTGTTTTGGTTGGCGTGGCGGTGGCGTATGCTGCGCTGCCGAGAATTCCGTTGAACGAGGAAGTTGAAGTTACAATGAGCCGGATCACGCCCTGCAGCTCAGCTCTGCCTGATCAGATGAGATTCCTTCTCAAATTATAAATATAAAATGAAGAATTAAAACATAAAATAAAGAGGTGTGTGGTTCCGTACTATTGGCAATGTTATTTTTTAGCTAGGACAAATAAGACCCATACGTGTATCACAGGTTTAAAATGAGCATACCATACACAAGGTATGAAAATCTGGTGATGGCCAGTTGAGCGAAGAAAAGGTAACTTGCTGGCTGGTGCGGCGTCAATGAGCAGGGAGACCGATACTATGCACCTTTAAATCCAAACGGAGTAGGGGTGCAGCGTACAGGGCTAGCACATAAGTAGTTTGTGAATGAAGTATATGAATGAGAACACATTATCACTTTCTTTCTCACTCATTTAGCATTAATGTCCAGTTCATATGAATGTATATAAAATGTACGTTATTGGGCTTGGCCGGGCACGGTGGCTCTTACCTGTGAATGCCAGCACGTTTGGGAGGCCCCGGAGGTGGGCAGATCACGAGAGGTCACGGAGATCGAGACCATCCTGGCTAACACGAAGTGAATCCGTCTCTGTTATCTAAAAATGTACAGCAGAAAATTTAGGCAGGGGCATGGTGGGTGTGCGCCTGTAGTCCAGCGTCTCGCGAGCTGAGGCAGGAGAATGGCCGGATGAACCTGGGGAGGCGAGAGCTTGCCAAGTGAGCAGATCGTGCCACCGCACCCAGTGCTGTGGCTACAGAGCGAGACTCTGATCTCGCGCAAAAAAAAAAAAAAAAAGTCGTTATTTGTTCCAGATCATCTTATATGAAGAAAGGCCTTTCAATAGAATGATATCTTCTAATAGATTTGTTGCTTTGTTGGTTATAACAGTTGTAACTGGTATGTAAAGAGAATGTTAGCATTATTGAAACTTCGAGTTGCACCACTGCTATTCATGCTGCCTCCTAAACAGAAATGATCTATTTCAGTGTGCCTTGTTGCTTGGAATTCAACGGAACATTGATTAGAAAGAAACTGCTCTAACATCAGCAAGTCTCTTTATATGGTCTCAAGACCAAGGAAATTATGTCGTAAGCAATCACTTCCTATGTGCACTTATTCTCAAGAAGAACATCTTTATGGTGAAGATGGGAGCCCAGTTTCACTGCCATGTATTCTTCAAGGACTTTCTGAAGCCTCACTTGTGAGATGCCTGAAGCCAGGCCATGGCTATAAACAATTACATGGCTCTAAAAGTTTCACCCTTTTTAAGGAAGGCACTAAAAAGAGCTGTCCTGGTATCTAGACCCATCTTCTTTTTGTAAGCAGCATACTAGTGTTGCTATGTGCTTTTGGTTGTAATGTGGTTTTAATTATACAAATAAAGTATGAAGCATTTTCTGGGGTTATGATGGCCATACATTTATTAGGAAGAATGGTTTTATTTTGATAGTAGCTTCCTTCTCTAGTGTTGTTAATCATTTCATTTTTACCCTCACTTAGTTTGAGTTTTTCTCACATTACTGTATATACTTTGCCTTTCCATAATCACTCAGTGATTCCAATTTGCACAAGTTTTTTTAAATTATGGGAATCAAGTTTTAATCCTAGAGATTTGGTATACAGTTCAAGCTTTGGATGTTTCCTTAGCAGTTTTGTGATAAGCTCTAGTTGCTTGTAAAATTTCACTTAATAATGTGTACATTAGCCATTCAATAAATTGTAATTGTAAAGAAAACATACAACACTTGCCTTATTTTGTTTTTTCTGGAGTCAATGAACTCTTGAGTAACAGAGAGTCTTTGGGCTTTAGAGTTCACGATTTAACAGTTATTCATTCAGGATCCCATCACTTGGTCATTTTAGTCAAACTTTCAACCCACAAATTCAATTTCCTCACCCTCAAGACTTTCTCTTATATTTGTCCAGCCAATACCTTCCCCGGCTCACTCATCCTTTCCCACCACACCCTTGATATAGATATAGCTGTTAATTTTCTCTGTTCCAACATTTAAACTATTGAGAAAATAAAACTTTGCTCACTGGTGACCACAAATTTACTCTCTACCTTCCCCTAGACTAAGTATGCTGTTCAGCATCTTTTTTTCTCGTTTTTAAAATTGTGATTAAATACACATAACATAAAATTTACCATCTCCACCATTTTTAAGTGTACAGTTCAGTAGAGTTAGGTACATTTACATTGTTGTAAAGCAGATCTCCACAACTTTTTCTCTTATAAAACTAAGACTCTGTATCTATTATATAATAACTCCACATTCCCCCATCCCTTCAGCCCCTGGCAACCACCATTCTGTTTTCTGTCGCAATGAATTTGACTACTCTCAGTACCTCATATAAGTGGAATCATACAGTGCCTGTCCTTTTGTGACTGACTTATTTCACTTAGTATAATGTCCTCAAGGTTCACTAATATTGTAGCATGTGTCAGAATTTCCTTTTTAAGGAAAGAAAGAAATTCATTGGGTGTATATGCAATTTTGTTTATACATTTTGTGTATCCATGTATCTGTCAGTAGCCATTAGATTGTGTATTAGTCTATTCTTATATTGCAATATAGAAATACCTGAGACTGAGTAATTTATAAAGAAAAGAGTTTTAATTGGCTCATAGTTCCACAGATTGTATGAGAAGCATGATACTGGCATCTGCTCAGCTTCTGGGGAGGCCCCCAGCAAACAGACAATTAGGGCAGAAGGTAAAGAGGGAAGCCAGGCATGTTTTACATGGCAGAAGCAGGAGCAAGGGAGAGAGAGGGGAGGTGCCACACACTAGAACAGCACCAAGGGTATGGTGCTAAACCATTCATGAAGGATCCACCCTCATGATCCAATCACCTCCTACCAGGTCCCACCTCCAACAACTGGGGATTACAATTCTACATGAGATTTGGATGGGAACACAGCTTTCTTCTGAGCCCTCCATATTTTTCCAACCTCTGCCTGTTACCTAATTCCAAAGTTGCTGCCACATTTTCAGGTATCTTTATAGCAATGACCCACACCTGGGTACCAATTTTCTGTATTAGAAATACCTGAAGCTCGGTAATTTATAAACAAAAGAGGTTTAATTGGCTTATGGTTCCAGAGTCTGTACAGGAAACATGATGCTGATTTCTTCCTGCCTTCTAGGGAGGCCTTGGGAAACTCAAAACCATGGAGGAAGGCAAAGGGAGAGAAAGGCATCCCATACGGTGGGAGCAGGAAGAAGAGAGAGAGGGGGCAGGTGCAACACACTTTTAAACTACTAGATTTGGTGAGAACTCACTCCCTATACAGTACCAAGCTAATCCATTCAAGAGAAATCCACCTTCATGATCCAGTCACCTCCCACTAGGCCCCTCTCCAACACTGGAGATTACAATTCGACATGGTATTTGGTGCAGACACAGATCCAAACCATATCAGGTTGTTTCCACCTCTTTGCTATTGTGAATAGTGCTTCCATGAGCATGGATGTGCAGATATCTTTTCAGACATTGCTTTTAATTCTTTTGGATCCATATCCAGAAGTAGGATGCTCTTCAGCATCTTTTATTCACGTACAGTCACCAACACTTTCATTTCCCCATGTTGTCTGTTCACTCACCTCAAGCCATCTATTCTACATTCATTCTTTCTTCCTTCTATTAAGGGATGATGAAAATATCCGAGGGTAATTCTCTCAACTTCCTCTCCCTCCACCCTCCATCATATCTACGTCCACTCACCCTTACCATCATGTCTGTCTTACACTTTTCACAGCCTATATCTTTCTCTCCTCATCCCTTTCTGTCTTTTCCAGGACATTGTTCCTTTAGTTAGACCCTCTCTCATCACTGGCTCCTTCGTTCCACCTCCAAAACTCCTGAAGCCAAGACCTGCTGAGCTGCATGTGACAGAAATCCACCTCACACTGGCTTAAACCAAAAATGAATTTTACTAAATCACATGACAGAAAAGGCCAGGCGTGTAGTTGGCTCTTGTCAAAACAGGGATAGTCAAAGCATGCCTTCAGGAATATCTTCTCCTTCTGCTTTGCCTTGCTGGCTTCATTCTCTGGAAGAAACTCCCTAAAAACCAGCAAAATATTTGCTTACAATGTGAAGTGCATGTCTCATCAGCTTAGCTTTCCAGTACAAAGAGCTTCTATTGTCCAATAAGTCTTTCAAAAGTCCCTTCAATAGCTCTCATTCTCCAAATAGGGTTACATGTCCCCAAAGGAAGGAATAACTAGGAGCAAGACAGTGAAATAAACACAGGGCAAGGCCTGAGTTGCCCGCCCAGCCTTGGAGATGGGGGGAGGGTTGGTCTATCTCATTGGTTCTCAAGTGGGATGATTTTGCCCTCCCAATGACATTTGGCAGTGTCTAGAGACATTTTTGGTTACTACAACTGGAAGAGGGAAGTGCTTCTGGCCTCTAGTGGGTAGAGGCCAGGGATACTGCTACACATTCTCTAAGGCACAAGACAGCCCTCCAGAACGAAGAATTATCTGGTCCACGATCTCAATAATATGGAGGTCGAGAAACCATAGTCTTCCAGAATCACACTGAACTATGGGAAAAAGGGGATTTCTCAATGGAAAAACCTAGGGGCAAATCCCAGAGGAAGGGACACATTTAGAGCAACAGATATCCACCTTCCCCTCCATCTGAAAACAAATCTTCCCCCAAACCATCTATGTTTCTCTTTTAAACTATTTGTCTACTACCAAATTTTCTGAAAGAGTGGTTGACCTTAACTGTCTCAACCATTGTAGTCATTCATTCAAGAAATAATTGTAGAACTCCTTCTCTGTGCTAAGCATTATTTTAGGTCATGGGATTTGGCAGTGGTAAACTGACATGTTCTCATGCAGCTTTTATTCTAGTGGGAGAGATACAATAAGCAGATTTTCAGATGGTAATAAAATGAAAAAAAAGATAAGTATAATGTTTTAATCTATATAAAACAAGCAAAAAGGAAAGGAAGTTCTGAATTAATGTGCAATTTTAAATAGTGGCCAAGAAAGGCTCCATTAAGAAGGTCTCATTTGAACCAAATAACTCAAGGAGATGAGGCAGTAGCCATGCAGACAGATATCTGGGCAAAGATCATTCTAAGCAAAAGGACTATTAAACGGGAGGAAAAAAACTGAAGAGAAAAACACACCTGCTGTACTTGAAGAAATAATTTGTTTGCATGCTGATGGTAAAAATTCAGCAGAAAGAGGGGTATAATAATGCTGGAGAAAGTGAGAATTGCTGGTTTCCTTGAGCGAGTGAGAGCAAACTGAATCTAGGGCACAAGCGGAGAGATCACCCTTAGACTTAGACTGTGGACAGTATAAATACACTAACAAGAGAGAAGGAGGTTACATGGGCCAAATACAAGAATTTTGGTGGAGCGATGGTAGAAAATTGTAGATCTATTTGATTGTTTCTATTTTCTCAATAAAGAAAGAAACAAAGCTATTCACAGAGATTAGGAATGTTGGAGAAGGTGTCAGAAATAAATGTCAAAAATATGAAATAGTCATTTAGGAGAATGAGAGAATAAATGGATTAGACAAAAAATAGTGGAAATGTCAGGCAGCAGTACAATGGTCCATTTGAAATTCTTTGTTACTAAAGTAAGGCTAGTCATTGTATCTCTGTGTCTTTTCCAGTCACATTCAGTTTCACAGGTATGAGAGCAAAATAATGGAGAATTGATTCTAACCAGGATTGTCGATTTGTCTAACGCCTATAATAAAGCAAGAGAAGGGTGAGGGAGCTAATGGTGGGTGCAAGATGATGATTATAATGACAGAGTATGGAATTTAACCTGGTAGTGATGAAAGTGAAGACACGAAGGAGGTGAGAGGCTGAGAGAGAGAGCGGTAGGATCAATGGGTTGCAGGCACTGAGACAGACAAAGATTGCTGGATTCAGTTTAATGGTAAAAGAGAAGAGTAGGATTGGTGGTTAAAGAGTGGGATCACTGAAATCATTGAGGGTTGCAGTGACAGTGACAAGTTTCAGAGCATGCACATGAGCATTAGTGTCAGAGGAGAGTAGAGGACAAGACCACAGGCAGAGAAGAGATCAAGGCACTTTAAGGCCAGGGATTTGAAAATACTATTGCTGTGAATATTGAAATCACCAGGGACTGTGGCAGAAGTAATAGTGAAGAAGGTGGCCATGAGCCAGGAGCTAAAACCTTCAAGGAATGAGGGGAGAAAGTAGACACTAGGAGATGGATACCAGCAGAAGTGGTAAGGAGTGGCACCTTCTGATAGCATGTGATGGAAAACTGGGAAACTGAGCCTTCTCCTCTTCTCTTTTCCTAAGCCTACTACAATCTGACTGCTTCTCCCATTACTCTGTCGAGAATAACTTGAAATGATGAGAGCAAATCCTTAAAAGAATGTCACTGGATGTATTAAAAAGTGTGATAAGTGATATGATCAAAGTAGACATTTCTTCCACTAGAATTTTGGGAGAAAGCCTAATGGAAACCAGTGCGCACAGAAAGACAAATCCTGTATGATACCAGTCATATGAGGACTCTAAAAAAGCTCATCTCATAGAAGTAGAGAGTAGAGTACTGGTTACCAGAGGCTGGGGAAGGGAGAGACAATGGGAGATAAAGACAGATTGGTTAAAGGGCACAGGATCACAGATAGATAGGAGGAATAAATTCATCCTTGAATACTTAACCGTCACCCTAAATCTGTCACTCCTACATCCATATTTCTTATTTTAATAAGTAGCACCACCATCCATTTTTAATCCTGGGGCTAACTCTTGATTGCTTTCTTCTCACCACCAACCTTAAGAAAGGAAGTAACCAATATCCAGTACACAAGCAACTGTTCATTTCATCTCCAAAATCTTTGTTAATTATCCACTTTATCCACCCAGTCAGGGCCGCCATCAAACCTCACTTGGATGTCAGCAAAAGCTCCCTGACTGGTCTCCCCTCTCCATTACTGCCCTATTCTAATCTACCTTCCATACTATACACAGATTTACATTTTAAAAATGTATATCTGATTGTCCCTCCCTTTTTAAAAATCTTACGATGCCCTGACATCTCAATTCACGATAAGGAAATTGGTTCTTCACATTCTCTGTACACTGTACACATCGCCTGCAATTGCGCTTCAACACAGAGACCAGGCATTTCATTAGCTGACCTTCCCACACACATTCTTGCAAAGAGGAATAGTCAAGCAGGCTCTTTGGAGGCGAGCTGCCGTCATCCACCACCTTTGTCTGTAAGCGCAGAGCCTCGCACGCGCGATCCATCGGAAGCCCAAGCATTGTCAAGCTCTGCTGCTGCACCTGGGTCCGCAAGGTGGGCTCTGCCAGAGAAACCCGTTAGAAACAATGCAAATGGGAAATAAACATGGCCTCGCCCATGAAGAGGAAGCTGTGGTCAAAAGCATTTTGTCCCGGAACCCCGCAGCCCTCCCCATACCCTGGGCGCGGAGCACAAGGATTGGTCACTCCTCTTTGTACTGCTCTTTTCCTCTTATTTCAGCTTTCTTCGAGAACAAATCTGGTTTGTAGATGGGCTTGGGGAGAATGGGGGCCTCTTCTCCAAGAAGCCCGGAGCCTGTTGGGCCGCCGGCGCCCCGTCTCCTCTTCTGCTGCGGAGGATCCCTGTTGGCGGTTGTGGTGCTGCTCGCGCTGCCGGTGGCCTGGGGTGAGACGCGGGCGGGCGTGGGGAGGCGCCTGGGCGGACGAGGCACCCGGGATCCCGCAGGGAACTCGCGTGCCTCGCTGGGCTGCGCTGCTCTGGGCGCCCGGGTCCGAAGGCAGTGCGATGGGTGGGCTGAGCGCGCGAACCGGCAGGGCGGCGGGTCTGGGATCCTTCTGCGCACTGGAGACCCTCGCTGCTTCTGGGTAAGCGTGGAGTCCCCATGTGCATGGGGCTTAAGTCGTGACCAGCGCAGAGGAAGGCGCAGATGCTGAGCGGGTGTCGCATGAAATTCCTTGGATTTGTGTATTCACAGTCTAGGTTGGCTATAGCGGAGCATGGCGTTGATCCTAGCGAAAGGGGACTTGGGGATCCGACAAACCTGAGTTCTGGTCCTAGAAACTTAACTATGAGGCAGCTTAGCACACCTAAGTCTGTTTGCTCTTCTGTAAAATGGGGACATTGATATCTGTATATTGTGGAGTTGCTGCCTCAGTGGCATAAAGCCTGTCGAGTGTCTAACACAGGGCCTGTCCCCGAGTCCATTTCTGTCCCCCCAACCATTGCCTCTGCACTTTGCTCCCAATGGTGTTTAGACAAGCAGTCCTAGGGACGCAGGTATTACCTGACAACTGCCCCGCATAGAACTGTCCTCGTCCCCCACCCCAAGCCACCACCGCTATCATCACCCTTGCACTTGATTGATAGCATATTTTAAGACAGATGTATGCTAGGCACTTGGGGATTAGAGGAGTAAGGGCAGCCCCAGAACATGCAGTGTAACCGCTGCAGGTAGAAGGAACAGTAGATATGTTTACAGTTCGCATTTTAGGGATGTGTTTAGTGCAAAATAAAGCCTATTATTATAACTACTATGGAAATTTTGAGGCCGCATCTCTTCCTTTTTCTTAACTTCACATAGGTAAACATCTTCAATTAGAACCCTTCTATTATTATTTTTGGGCTCCCCAGAAGTCTTCTTGTTTGCCTAGACTCACTGGCAACACCTCAATTGAAGTGACAGTCTTGGTTGTTCCTGTCCAGCCTCTTCTGACAACTCCAGGTTCGCCCTTCTCTGCTACTAGACATTTTGCATTCTTTATTTGAGTGTTCCTTCTTCTCTAAAAGAGTAAAAAATAAAATAAATTAAAACCAAGTTCCCGCAAGAGTTGTTATTACTATTTGATCTCCTTAGGCACCAGAAAGTAACCTGTCAGGTGAAGAGATATGATAAAACTTATAATTTTATTTTTAGGAGAGAAGCATGCCCAGTAAGTTAAGCAATCTGTTGTCAGTGCTTAAGAATTTGTGTCATCCTTGTGAGTACTGACCCTTTTCTTACTAGAATGTTGTTTTAGTTTGCCTATGTTGATTAAGTTACTGTTATAAACAATCCCAGACACTATTAATTGCAAAAATAAAAAAATTACTGAGGTTATCACAATAACCTCCAAATGTGAAATAGCCTAAACTATACTACCTGGAAATTTTCTTGCTGACATAATTTAAATTTTAAAATGCTGATGGATGTTTCCAGTGTGCACGGTCCTTTAGAATTTTAAAGAAGTATAAGAGCTATGCACCCAAGGTATATGCATGTAGAAGTAGGTGGTGGAGTTTTATGAAATCTACTTATTAGGAAGCCAGTGTTCGGCTTTTTCCAGCTTCTGCTACTTACCAGCTGGGGTCTTGGACCCAGTAAGTTAAGTCACATCACTGACCTTCAGTGTCCACATGTATAAAATGAGCATAACTGACATCCTGATCTCTGAAAGAGGTATTTTGAAAATCAGATGGTGTAATGCATGTGACAGTGTTTTGTAATCTGAAAACCCCCATGCATGTCTGAAAAATCATGACTAAGAAGTCATGCAAGACTGCAGGATTACTGAAAAGGGAGAAGTCTTAGCTCCTACGATCAGGAAAGTGTGAGTGAAAGGTGTATGGATTTACTAGCACTTAAAGAGTGAATCCAGAAACAGGTTGCATAGGACAGTTTATGGGGATATTTATTTCTATACAAAACATAGCAGAGGAACTAGGATTGGTTTGTTATTATGATTAACTCACAGTACCCGTGAAGTGGTATAGGGCTATTTGAAAGAGGACTTAGATTAGCTGCAAATAGATATTGCAAATGTAGGACAACCACTGAAAAAAGTGAAAAAAAGAATGATAATTATATGTGAATAAGAAAGAGAAAATTGCATCATATAAAATGCTCAGTTAAAACAATAAAGAGGGCCGGGAACGGTGGCTCATGCCTGTAATCCCAGCACTTTGGGAGGTTGAGGTGGGTGGATCACCTGAGGTCAGGAGTTCAAGACCAGCCTGGCCAACATAGTGAAACTCTGTCTCTACAAAAATACAAAAATTACCGAGGCATGATGGCGGGTGCCTGTAGTCCCAGCTACTCGGGAGACTGAGGTATGAGGCGTGAGAATCGCTTGAACCTGGGAGATGGAGGTTGCAGTGAGCGGAGATCATGCCATTGCACTCCAGCCTGGGTGACAGAGGCCAACTACATATCAAAAGAGAAAGAACGGAGGAAGGAAGGAAGGAAGGAAGGAAGGAAGGAAGGAAGGAAGGAAGGAAGGAAGGAAG